GGGGGCAGAATTGTCAAAAATTATCGAGCTTGACCAGGTGGCATGGAGCAAGAAATGCATCCTGAGAGGTGTTAAAAAGTAACCACGCTAGGTTTGTTAAATCATTTTTGTCCGTCCACAGTATTGTAACGTATGCAGTTGTTCCTGCATGAACAACATCCACAGCTACAGGCCCAGCAGCACCCTGTCGAAGCCACAACAGTTTATTTTAAAAAAGTGTTTTGAGGTTCAGCGATGTCTCTGAGCTGGTCGGCAGCAGAAATGAATGTTATGTGGTCTAAGTTCTCCTCACACAGCACTGACAGCCATGGTGAAACCAGCCAGACTTTTTACATCAGAAATAGAGAACAACTTTGTATCTGACAACTATTACACTTATCAAACTATTCAACCCCCTCTTTTGATGCAAGTGCAAAACTGTACTAACAACAGGCTTCTTTTCAAGCTTCCAGTTATCCCAGGCTGCCAAAATGACCTTCATGAAGGCGATCCATGATCACGGTCTAGTTTGAGCACAGAGGACACTTGCAGTGGTGTAGGGATAGGGGACTACCTTCCAATATCCACACATGGCGTGCTATGAACACAGCAGAGATAGGGCATTTAATCGTTGGCCTTCGTTACATTTAAAATTGACAAGAAAAGCCATCTCTGTGGGTTTTCGAAACATTTCCCAGCTGCACTGTGGGTATTGGAAGATAGCTGAGGGAGAGTGTGTTCTAGAAAGTGTGCACTTACAGAGGGTGGAGGGGACTCCCTGCCAATCAGGGGGGTGTTCTCACACCGAGGGTTCTGAAAGTTTGCGTTCTGGCTCCTGCATTATAGAATAAGAGGTTACTGCATGTGGTCACCCTGCCGCTGAGTTGTTGATCTGTTGCTGATCTGTGCTCTGCTCATCATTACGACATTGTGACTCTCTGACAGATGGCCTCTGACAAATGACCTCAATAACAATGACAAACGAAGGACTTAAGCTTGGTATCATATAGCCAGCGGTTAGATAACTCTGCCACAGTCCAACATGGTTTACATTCTTCCTGAGCAATGCACAAAACCTTTACTCTCACAATGCGACACTGACTCAGTAAAATAGTCCTTTTATCAGTGTGGGGTGATGCAACATTAAATTTTTTAAAGGTTGAAGAAGACATTTATACATGAAATATTTATCAATTAGGCTTCAAATATCTCTTGCAAGCACAATCTGAGGTTGGTATTGTAAATGTCTGCAAAAACAAACAGCTATGTTTCGTCTTATTACTGCAAGGTGACACTGTGTGTATGGAAGAACCTTACAGCTCTAACTTGGAGATAGAACACGGGATAGTCTAAATTATTCAAGCTACACAGATGTATGTTTCCCAGGTAGCTCGATAGAAACCAAAACACGGCTGCACCCATTCATCACTGTTCAGTATTTGAGGTTTTTACTTTAGGTTTTCCTAAAATGTACCAAAATAAGTTCAAGAAAAAATAAGTGGCCTTGCACACTTTGGTTGTATAATTTACTTCACTGTCAGACCAGTTTCCATAGTTGGTAACTGTATGGTTATGGAACTGATTTCACAGGATTATGTGAGTCTGGTCCTTTGAAAACTGGCCATTTCAAACCTGGCAGCTGACTCTTATTGTTCAACAAAAACACAAAGGAAAAATAACATGTATGAGGCTGTATTATTATGCAAAACAGTTTAGCTTTGACAAAAAAGTAAAGCTTGTGAAATATTCATAGTAAGAGACCGCCCATGAGTCAAGTCTCCTAGTATTCACATCATGTTAGTATGGACCAGAACTGACTATCTGGCAGCCTGAAAGGGAACAAATATCTCTACAGGCCTGTGATGTGATTCAGAATAGAGTCGTCAGTATAATTACACATACAGGTTTTGTTCATGGTCCAAATAATAATACTAGATTGTGCTTCATTAGAGAAATGAGCAGTGGCAGAAAAGAGATGTATATGCTTATTTGTCATCTGTACTTTCTGTTGCATTAAAAGCAAGCGATTCAGTTCTGTGACAACAACACGTAGCAAGCAGGGTGAAATTTTTAAACTTATGCTATGCGAGTGCAAACATGAATTTGTTTTTTGCTAACATTGTGGGCTTAAACAGGCAGCCTGGCTGATACAGCAAGCAGCTACTTCTCTATCAGCATCAAAGGGAGAGCTAGTGACAGTTTCTAACTCACCGAGTGACAAATATTGCTAACAGTGTGTCACAATGGACATGCGAGCCATACATTTGAAAAAAGTAGCTATTCTAACTTATCATAACGCAGGCAGTGAGCATTGCTATGCTGCTAGTCTGGATCACAGGGGGCAAGCATCAGCTACCTATGGCAGGCAGTGTATTGATCCTGCTAGCCTCTAGCTAGCGATGGGTGCTAACTCACATGTATTCAGTGACGGGGGCATTGCTGACAGTGTGGGCGGTAGCGGGCAGGCTAGCTTCGCTACCGTAGCTGGAGCCACAGCTGTAGAGACTGGGCATGTGAACGCGGTACAGGTTATCGTGCACACCGCCGCGGGAGGCACCCGACTCGTCCTCTCCGTCTTCCTCATCCGTCCTTCAATCGGTCAGGGTAAGGGCAGGGCACGAGAGGGCATGATGGAGAGGAGGGGGGAAAGGTAGAGGGGAGGGAGATCCGAGAGAGACAACAGAGTGTAAACAAGTGGTTGAAGAGGAGGTTAGGAGAGGGGAAGGTGTACTTGTACTATCAGGAGTCCCCTGATACAACAGACTGGGTAAGGCCATGCCTCCAGCCCCAAAGCAGCTGAACAAGAAGAAAAGGAACATGGGAAGCATTCATCTACAAACAGATCCACTACTAAGCACAGTGGGGTCCAGAGCGGACACATGTAGCTGTTGTTTTTTTTTTTTTCTTTTCATTGCTGTGTGGCATTACATAATATTATACTGCAGGAAAATAGCAGACTCTTCAATATCTCAATAGTCCTTTTATTAAGTAGAAACATGCAGCCATTTTCTTCATGCAGTCCTCCTCTATTGACACAGAGGATTTGCTCCTGGTATTTACTGTCCAATCGTCAATTAGCAACAAATTTCCACACTCCTTTTTCTTTGATATCATTCATGCATCTCTGTGTGCTCCATGGAAATTAAAGCAAAAACATCAGGAAAAAAGGAGATAATATGGCTGATTTGGGCAAACCATTTTCAGACATAAAATGGTCAAAAATGTAAAACGGCCAGCAACATAACAGAATGAGGCATCAAATAAGATATGTGCTGATTTGGAAGTTGGATCTCTGGCTACAGAAATGTACTGGATTCTATAATGTAGGATCATAAAGTGCATGCACATGTTCATCTGGAGAACCTAATATTACGACTGTTGTATTTTCCTCTTTGTTGCTTTCTGACAGTCTGCATCAGCTGTCCACACACTAACAACATCAGACTGGAATGTTTAAAAGAGGGAATATCTTTGGCCCTGTGTTAACAGAGACAATAAGGTGGAGGAGAAGTTACTGCCCCGAATGGCCACCAGATGGAGGTGTTTCAGTCATTCAACCAAAATGGAGTTAAGCTTTGCAGCCCATCAAACAGACTCAGCAGTTGCAGCACAGTCTAATAAAGAGCCGACCCAGGGAGCAGTTGTTCTTGTTAAATTCAGGGACATTAAAGTTTACTGCTTAATACCTGCTGGGCCATTCATTGGCGCTGCTGGTGATTCACATCCAACAAACAATCATAAAACAGCACTACTATGGCACAGCTGTGTTTCATTATTCAGATCATTCACCGGAGTGAAAACCATCACTGCGTGTATAGTCTTTTTGAGTGATTTTACCACAGAATGATTTGGTTGTTGGAATGGGTTGTATATCTGACCATTGGGTCGTTCAATTTCCTCAATATCCACCATCATTCGCTGAAGCCCAAAGCATTTCCAAATCAGGACAGGGAGAGAGGAGGCAGGGAAGGAACAGAAGGAGGAAGTGGGGCACAGAAAAAAAAAAAAAAAAGTGTGGTGATATACAGTCTAACGCAAGACCGGTGCTCCGAGTCCATAGAGGAGAAAAGAAAATGAGAGATATGTACAAACATAGAAACAAACAATCAGCCAGACTGGCAGTGCTGACGGCAAACGATAAAAGAAAACTTGCAGAGTAAACTGGATGGATGCAAAGACAGGCAGGTAGACATACGGAAAGATACAACAGTTTGGGAGGCAAACACATGTAAAAGAATGACATGCATGGGCACCGAGGAGATTCTGTATGGGTCGTTCCACTGTTCTCAAGTCCATCAGCTGATTTCAGTTAGACAATTACAGTAAGAAGTTAGAGCTAGTAGTATGTGAGTTGTTAGTGTACAGATTAACTAAGGAGATGGATTCAGGGATGTTAAGGTTTGTGTGTGGCTTCTGTCTGTGCGTGAGAGAAACTGTGGGTGTGTGTTACCTCTTGCCAGGCCAGGTATGTGGCACACTGCACACAATAGAGGAGAACATCAGAGCGGTGACGAAGGAGAAGAGAACCAAGTAGATGAGACCCTCCACGCCGTCGTAACACAGCCCGGTCAATGCTTGGACGTAGTCCTGAGAGGAGAGGAGAGGAGAGGAGAGGAGTCAGCTGGTAGAAAGAAAAAAAAAAGTCTGGATTTTGAGGACTTTTCTCTTCTAACACAACACACAAAGTGACTCACCATGTGTAGGCTGCGACAGTCAACCAGAGCAGTCAGCTGGTGAAGACCAACCTCAGTAGAATTCAGCACAGACTGGATTTGCTCAAGACTCCCCTGCACACACAAAGCAAAGGTTAGACATGCTTGCTCAGATATAGATACCTGCCGTCTTGCACATTCACACACACACACACACACAAGATAAACACGTGTGTGCTGGCACTTGTACAACTGACACTTTCATCTCGCTCCCACTGATGAAAATCCCCTCATCCGTGAAAAAAAGTCCTACAGATCATTGCGTACACAAGCAGGCACACACACACACACACATACACACCTTGGTGTTGGCATAATCACGTGTTGCTGATCTCAGTAGCTCTGCCACATCATCCTGCATCTCCACCAATGCTTTGTGACTCCCTGACAGCCTCTACAAAACGCACAGGGAGACACCAGAGGCACAAACAAAAACACATGCACAAATACATCTTTTGGTTATTAAACTGCACCACACTTTGATTCCTCTATGTCCCATGAATCCAGTGTTACCAGAATGCATTCTAATGAAGCAATGACATTTTTGGTTCCAATAAAAAAAGAACTGCAACAACACTGAAAAGCAAAGTTACCTGCTGGAAGGGGTTAATTTGTCCAGAGCTGCACCTCAGGTAGTACTGCAGGATATCTGGGGACGTGTCAAAAAACACACATCAATATAACAATGCATACAATCGGAACATACACTTTACTGAAAGAAGGATGTAAACTGCATGTATTAAGGTTTCCTAAGCCCAGTATCTCTCAATAGAGGCATGTTTGCAGTACTACTCAGGCATAATTGCGTGTGTTTTTATGTGTATTACGAACGCAACATCTGTGCTCTAGAGCAAACAGATAGAGCGGAAACAACTGACAGACAGCGGATCTCATTACTTGAGTGAAAAGAGGGAAGTGAGGGAGGGAGGGAGGGAGGGAGAGGAAGAAGGAGGGAATTTTGAGAGGTAAAGAGGGATATAAAAGGATGAAAAGGGAGAGAACAAATCTGATCACGATCTTAAATGAAAATGCGAAACTGAGCTCAGATTTTTTTTCCTCTTTTTTTTTGCATCTGAGACGAGCAGGAGGAAGAGCGAGTGGGGAGTACAGGGTTGCTGATGCATTGCAGTCAGCAGAGAGAGAGTAAGAGCTTTTAGATACCAGAGTGTCAATCAAATGCAATCCCGTCGGATGCACACTCTCGCAGACACATAAACGCACACACTTGTTTCTTAAAATAGAGGCAGCATGTCAGGGTGAGATTCAACTGTCAGTGAGGAAACTGGAGTCTGTTCTAGATGTCTCTGCTTATTTGCCAACCTACAGTATTTGCCAATGAGGGGTCCATTGACAAAAAAATCTACCATTTCTCCCTACATCACTTTATCATATAAAAAATGTAGAATGTTGTTGGCAAATGTTATATTTTTACAGCAGTGGAGAGTCTCCCTGCCCCCAGAGCTATCAAGGGAAATCTGACAGTTTTAAAACATAAACAGTAAACACAATCTTTGATTTTGAGGTCATGAAATGCTGGATGGTTAATCTAATCTGCAACTGCTTAACTTTAAAAAATAATATGAGAAGGTTCAAGTGCTCACAAAAATACACGGTACAAGTCTTAAAGGTTTCGCAACACAGCAGAAAAATCCCTAAAATTTGCTGCCACCAGTTCCCCAGTCCTGTATTTTCCTGTCTGTATACCTTGGTTGATGACAGCGTTTTCCTTGGTTACCCTGGTGATGTATGTATCCGGGGAAACGCAGAAGTCGCTGGCTGACTGTAAGAGGGTAAGCACACATGACACATCAGGCTACAGTAGCATGAACACACTCACTTGAGCAGTGGGTAGAGATTACATCATTGCAGTGCCAGAGAGCTCGGCAATGTTGCCATGGTTACACTTACAGCAGCGACAGCCAGTTCCAGGCCCAGAGACCCCCAGCTGATGATCAGAGTCAGTACCCCCAGCAGGCATACTCTGAAGGACAAAAAAATACACATGTTTAAGGTCAAGATTCAGCCTAAAAACCTGCGACATGCTTTACACAGGTTTAGACGATGCAGGTTCAGAGCCTGGACGAGATCTGATTCACCCAATAGGAGCAACTTTTGTGGTGTGATGTGAAGCAGCATACCCAATCAGAGTGCCTCTAGAGTTGCGTATCAGACCGAAGAGCACCAGAAGACAAATGAGTACGTCGAACAGCAGCAGGCCAAGGTACCCCAACCACCTGTGAACACACAAATTCACCAGCGTTTCATACACATAGGTAGATACATTGTTCGATGATAAAGATTTCAACACACAACATGGAGGTAAAACAAAAAGCTGCAAAGCAGAGGGTGGAAGTATTTGAGGAATGAGTTAATGATTCCTTTAAGACATACCACAGAGGACATTTTACATGTACCAAGGTCACGATCAGATCCCCCACTTGCTTTTGTTTAAAGTCTTAGACTCAGCGTCATGTGATGTTTAGACACTTGGCTTTTCACTTATGTCCAGGTGAGTGCAGCTGGTTTTAATGTTGTTAGCATGCCACACCGAATCAAAACACAATATTTACTAAGACAACACTATAATACTTCATGCAGGACAGAATGCCAGACTAGTTTTCAGTTTGATTCAGCAAGTGCTGCTGCAGTTCAGCACTCACACCATTTAGTACTGACCTGTAAAAGTCAAAAGCCTCCGTCTTGCGTGCCAAGTCCTCCAGGGAGATGTCAGTATTTGACCAGAAGGGAACGTCGACCATCAACCTCACCAGCTCGTCCAGCTGTCCCTGCAGCTTTTGGACGATGGACACGTAGTCCGTCTGCTCCTGGAAGGCTGTTTCTAATTGGACCAAGCTCTCCTCCACGGTCTGGTTTAAGGCTAGGGCACTGTCTGACACCTAGACGCCAAGCATCGTCATTAGCTGTTATTTTAATTCTGGTTTTTGTGTTGTTTTGTTTGACGAAGCAGATCACTCACCAGTTTCTCCACCCCAGATATGGTGCGGTTGGCATGACGGAGGGAGTAAGCCAAACGATTGGCTCCATCACTCGACTCCCCGTTTCCATAGAATCCTACAGCGATGCCAGCGCTGGGAGGCAGAAAATAGGAAGTGCCAAATGTTAACACAATGACTAATTCAATCTTTGAATAGCATCATGGACACACACGCTAAAACTGTAGCATCAACAGTGGAGTTGCTGAGTTCAGTTCCTCTGTTAACCAGCAAGAGGCGGCACTGAGGGTTTTTTTTTGCTATGGTGTCACCCTAAAGCCTGAGGCAAGCACAGGACAACCAGGAATGATTCACACACACACACACACACACACACACACACACACACACACACACACACACACACACACACACACAGAGTCTATGCAATAATTGGGTCACCAGACCGCAAATAATATGATCCTTCTGCAGCTCTGCACCCACATTCACACATTACACATGCTACAATATCTGGGGTTCCTGGCCCCAACACCCTTTCTTACAAACCAAAGTGCTCCTTAACCATGTTCACACCACAACTAACCCCTTGCCCAGCCAACACCACCACCACCACCACCGCAGAGATCTTTTTTTCCGCTCTCCATTTCGTCACATCTAACCCCATTTTCTCCCGCACGCTCCCTCCCCGCTATGCTTTTATTTTCTCCCTCACCCTGTATAAGCTCTTGTGCCCCTCTGCCCTCCCTTTGTGTACTCTATGCGCGTCTGACTGTACGCTTTGTCTCGATGATGTCTCTGTCTGCACACAAGCAGCCGACAGATTTGTAGAGAGAAATTTATGGCCATTGTTAAAGCAATTCATTCTAGCCCATTAGCTCTTGAGTAGCCCCATGTTACAACAGGCTTTATATTGTGTGGATGTGTGTGTGTGTATGTGTGTGTTCGTGTGAAGCAAAACAACAAACACAGAAGAGAAACAAAAGTGAGACAAATACAAGCATGAAGGCACTTAAATGTGCTTTGTGTGTTGATCTACACGTCGTCTCTTTCATCTGTTCGTTTCCCCACCCATCCCTGCCTCCCACCATCTCACTCCATCCTCCATGTGATCTCACTTTTTTAATCACCTCCTTCCACTCCTGTTTACTCATCCTCCTCTTCTCTCCCACCACCAGTTCTCTCTGTCTCACTGCTGTCTCTCCCTCCAGTTCCCTTCATCCCTCCTTTTCTCTCTTGCTGGTTGAATACCTGCTGCTCCTATCGGGGGGTTCCATGACTTTATTAACAAACATATATGGGGCCGGCTGACGGGCAGAATTTCCGAAATGAAATGCCTGACAGCAAACACTGGCCAGATCCCACACAGGAGAACACACATACATTACAAAGACTTTGTTGCCTTTGAGGAACAGCTAGCTGTTCTGACTGATGCTAGCTCAGAGAGACAGAGCTCTGTTTTAGTCTTTGCTTCAGTCCATTTTCGGCTAAAACGGACTGACATCATGAGCTAAAAATGCTTTGCTGTACCTAAATGAGCGCACTGAAACGCACTCGGCTGGAGTTCAGTAGATGAGGCAGTAAATATTGTCTTTGGACAAAACTGAGTTTGCGATGAAGTCAAGTCAAAATCAAATAGAACCCAAAATAAATGCATCCAATTAGTGGCACAGCAGAAATACCAGATAGCACAAAGACATGTAATCCCCACTGGCTACAGCCAGAAAATATCATTGGTAATATAAAACCAGGGGAGCAACTAATGAGTTTCATGATTATTTGTAGGGAGGGGCACCTATACTGACTTTAATTAGCAACTGAAGTAGTTACAAGCCAACATTTCATAGACCTCATATCAAAGACTAGCTTTGATACGAGGATGATACATATAGGGGGGGATATGAGATAAAACTGAAGAAAAGGGACACATATATTTCATTTTCTCAGCAGTGGCCAGTCAACTGATTTACATTTTGCAATGAAATCTCCATATGGTAGTTTTGATCACTGCTTGGCTCGTTCTAGTCCTGGAATCAGAGTTACAGTTTTAAATGCAGGGTGTTGTCGTCAGCGCAGTGTACAAATAAAGTTAAACGTTAGAAGTGTTACATTCATTCTAGTCTGACTCACCGGATGTAGGATGCGGGTATAAGACACTGCTCATTTCGGTCGGCTTCGTCATTTCTTCTGCTATCTGTGTGTTAGCGTTTTCTGTACGGTGGGACAACAACAACCACCAGGCAGCAACCTACCACACTGAAAATTAAGTTTTGCAGAGGTTTTGAGTCCTGCAGTGAGGCAGTCCTGCTAGCTTTTTTTTTTTTTGCGGTGGATTATCCATTTTAATGACAGTGCTTATCACCCTGCATGCAAATGTTTCACCACAACTATTCCACCCGTCACTATTTTGAGGGGAAACTGAAGCTGCATACTTCGCTTAGCCCCACCTACGATGACTGTAATTTGGTTTAAAGAAATATAAACAGGCCAGAGCACTTTTCCCCCCTATAGCAGAATGATAGTGTGGTGCAGCCAGACTAGATGACATTTATTCAGTGCTTCAATGCAGCAGCATCCCTGACCTCATGTTACCTCACAAAAAAATGATTAGAATGATTTCCAGGCAGTGTAACATATAATGTTTAAATCTGGACAGAAGAGAGCGTCGTATCGGATGAATACCAGCGAGGTACTATAGTCAGTGCTGTCAGAAAAGACATTGAACTGACATATCCTCAACATTTTACATTTTTGTAAAGGAGTAATCTCATGTTATTATTATCATTTGATTTATTTTTTTTTCAATTAATAAAAAAAATCTAGAGGAAAAAAAATCCCCACAGCCCAAGGTGACCTCTGAAAATTACTTCTTTATGCTGATGAAACATTCATATTCAGGGTTTTGTTATTTTGGATTTAATTTTCTCAAGCATAAAAGATATCCTTGTTTATCAAATGGTCAAAAATAACAAGAAAGTGCATAGATTCCTGTCAAATAAGAAAACAGTCTCATTGCCAATACTATTGGTAGACCAATTCTGCTCTCTCTGTGGTGCACAGTCACCCCCCAAAAGATTCATTCTGAGCCTCGGACAATCCTCATATTTGGAAGGCTGATTGACGTTTTTCCTGAATGACTGAAACAATTAATTGATAATTAAATATGTTGATCGTTTTTTTTTGCTGATCGTCTAATCCTTTCAGGACAATGGCAGCGAAAGGATGCAACATACAGCCCCTTCTGTCTAAACACAGTGCACCTGCACACAAATGGAGGAAGTCCACATGTGGTTGGCGTTGGGCCAAAAATAAGGCATGATGTCATATTAAATTTCGGACAAAGAACTGCATGCGCACAAAAGCACGCGCGATCCCACACAAATGCATCCACGTATGCTCAGATTCATATCAAATATTCACTAAGAAATATTATAGCTAATCATAAAATATTAAAACCTCCCAAAAAAAAAAAAACACTCTTCAGCCCTGAGTCACGCGAATACACACACATGCACACACGCAGACACAGCTTCCCCCTGACTGTATAATTCATTTCTCGTCTCTGCATCAAATCTACTTCTGTCTCCATGGCAACCTTTCTAGGCCAGGGAGAAGGCCGAACAGAGAGAAATAATAAATAAAGGAGGGGGACTAACATAGAGGGAGAAATAGAAAGAAAGGGAGGAAAAGTCGGGAGGAAAGGGTAAACGACGGCGGTGCCTATTAGCAGGCCGATATGTTTGTATGTGCATTTGTGTGGTGAGAGGGGCAGAGTCCACACGACTCAGGATCTGTGGTCAGAATACACTCTACCCCGCTGCTAGGTCGCTTGGGTGAAAGACCTCAGAGTGTACACACAGCCCCTCAGAGAGAGTCAGATAAACACAAACAGTGGAGTGTAACCACCTGGCCGGCTCCCAGTTACAACACATGGGCTTAAAACAGGACTGAGTGGACGTGAACGCTGCAGCAGTTAGATTTATGTACATTCATAACGGTATATTAAGGCTGCTGCTAAATGAGAACCTTGTGTCTGTGTTTTCTGCTGGATGGAGAAACATGGGGAATGTCTCCTCTTTGCATCTACATATTCATATATTCATCTTCCCTTAATGCATATTCAAAACATTTTCATCCTTTCATCCATCTTAACTAGGAGGTATTTCCTAATTCAGGGGGGTATTTCCTAATTGAACTGGGGGCACTGCGGTTATATACACCCTCAACAATCCAGACGAGTTTTTGTAGTATTTATATCCACGTTTTCTTCTGAAGTCAAGGCACGGAACAGTTAAGTGAATGTTTTGTATGTGGCAGAAACAAAAGCAAATACCGTGACATCAAGGACGAATCAGTAAATCTGTCTCCATCACATCTTGTCCTTCTCAGTAAGTCAACTTTTCAGTGTCAGTGATATGTATTTTTGTTTGTTAAACGTGGAGGCTTTTTGTGCATTTCTGGCATTAAAATCATGAAAGGAAACACGACTATTAATCCAAGAACATTCACTGTACTGCGCATGTAAGTGTACATAGTGTTACCATAGTAACTATGTGAGACAAACAGTATTTTTTAGGGTTGAAAAGTTGTTTGTGTTTTTATATCACATCACATGACAAAGCAGTGATCATTAAACAGTAAGCCCAGTTCTTCTGGACAGTGACGACTGCCTCCTTGCCTCTCTCTGTCACAGCTGCGTGCAAATGTGAGTCTCAATCGCTCTAATTACACTCACGAAAAACTACTTCCGCAGTGTTAAGACAAAATCGGTGACAAATGACATACACGACATACACAGGCTGGAGTGAAAAATACTTAAAAATCTACTGTCAGCGATTGCATGTATTTGTACACATACACGAATGAATTTCTGGCTTCAGCAAGACATGCAACGGAAATAGTTTGCTCAGATAGCAGAGCACACAAAGGAGCCAAGGTCACACTGTGGCAGATGGAAAGGGGAGCACAAGCTGGATGCCATAAATTAACAATCAGAGACACTTGGTGGTGGTGATTAACAGTGATCGAAGATTGTGTCTCCAGTCATCAATAGCTGACCTGATCGCCAACTGGAACTAGCCTAGTGTCTTCTTGTGTAGTCTTAGTGACATGTTCGGCACAGCTGGACAGCAACCAGCTGTGCCAGTGAATCACTGCCAACTTTTCCTTAACAATCCCCAGAGAGAAGTCCAGGCTAGAGGGTAATTTGTTAATAGGGGAAGATGATTTAATAAATTCACCCTCTCTCAGTCAAGCATCCTTAGCATAACAAATGTTATAGCCTGTGGCGTGGCTGCAAAAGCAACAACTCTTATTATCGTGTACAGAGGCGTTCCTCTTGTAGGGATAAAGTCTCACCTGCAGACGAGTGTGGCGATGATAACGCACCAAGCAGTGCAGCAGCAGTCGGCGCTGGGCTGCTGGGAGTGCGTATGGGAGTGCGAGGAGTCGTCGCTCTTACGTCGCCGGCAGCAAAGCCAGAACGAGTAGAAGAGGAGGAAGAGGAGGTCCAGGGCCAAACACACCAAAGCCACAGCACCGAGCAGCAAAACAGACTAGAAAGAAAAGGGAGTGATTAAAAAAAAAAAAACAATTAGCGGCAACAAGAAATTTGTGATTTCATTATACAGTTTGTGTTTATATCAAACTTTGGCCTTGATTCAGTCAGAAGTCAAATGTATTATGTTTGAGAGTTGCCCTTATCGCAGGGAAGTGGACCATTTAGGATGTAGGTTAAGGATACAGGAAGCGAATTAGCTGATATGAGCAGAAACCAGATACACAGACGGACCACATGATCTAGCAGACAGACGCAGACAGATGCACAAACTGTGTTCCTCTCTCCAGTTATCTGAGGCCAGAAAACTGCGCTGTGTCAAATGGGCGTTTGATGGATACCATGAAAAATTTGCATTGCATTGTTTTCGCACACCATCAAACACACGCACACCTCCGTGGAGCGAGCGGAAGCGCTACTGTTGGGGAGCTGTGTGCTCTGGAGACCCACCACACAGATCACACACCCTCTAAAAGCTTTGAAGTGTAAAAGAAGGAAGGGGTGGTGGGGAGGCAGACAGAAGGAGGAGTGTGGGGGGGCGGGGGAGTAAATTTGGAACAAAAAAAAAAAAAAGAGAGAGACAGGGTGTAGAGACATGCAAGGAAGAAGATGTGAAAGAAGATGACTGAACGGAACACTAAAAAGGGAGAAGTGGATAAAGACAGAGACGAGGGCTGTTACTGCAATTTGGTGAAAGCTGATGAAATCTTTTTTTATCACACACACACACTGAAATGTTGGTTGTTCTTCTCCCTCTGGGGATGTCTGGAAAAGTCATTGTGCTGCAAGACCATGTAGAGACAAAAGCACGTTTCTGGAAAACCAAAATCTCCACCTGCTAGACTACTTGCAGCAGACAAAGGAATCCTGCCACAGAGCTGCTCGCTTCAGCAACAGTGTCATTCTGGAGACGCAGCCTCGCTCTACCTCCGAGATCCTCAGACTTCCTGGCTTCCCAGGCTTCTAAACTGCTGTTTGTAGTGACCTCAATTTTTCCTCAATGCCAGCCAAAGATTTCCTCACATTTTCTTTGTTTAATAAAACATATCAAGGGTATAAACATGACAACATCAAGTGTTCATTTAAGGACAGTGAAAAAAAATAAAAAAATCAATTTTGTACTTTGAGTTCAACTGTTCAGGGCTCATAAATGAATCAAATAATACAAGAAAGGAAAGTGAACTCAACATTTGTTTAGTGAATCTGGGAGACTGTGCTTTGGCATAGCAGTGCTCTAAGCTAGATGCTAACATGGGCTGCGTTCCAAATCACATACTTTGTCTTCATCCTTTCAGTACGTACTACAGCGGACTTTACAAAGTACTGTTTCATGCAGCATGCATACAACTAAGACAGTATTTCATCATAATAATGCACCTTAAACTTTAACTGTTGCAGTCTGTCATGTCCAGAGATGCTGTCTTGCATGCCAGTTGTCGTAGGACATGCAGGTATTTTTGCGTATTACATTTCACATACTATGTATAGGACAAACTAAATCAACTGCTAGCAAGCTATATAGTTGGTAATATGGGTATTGTAACACACCCATGCTCACAAGAACATTGATAACATGCTGGTGTTTGGTGGGTACACTGTTTACCACATTCACCATTTGATTTAGCTTTTTAGCTGACACATGCTAATGGAAAACTAGCCCAAAAAACAGCTGAGGGGGATGAAGTATTGGACAATAAAGCCTTTGAGTGGATGATGGAATTAGAAGCCACACTATGCACATTTACTGGTTTGCAATATTCTTTTTGGGGGTCTACTAGAGTATGTTTAAATGCTTTAATGTTCAGAAAACACCTAATTTTCTCAGACTGCACATACAGACTATCACCTCTTTAAGGTCTCCAACTAAAAATTCCAGTCTGCTCGATCGGTTACATGCCCTAACCCCAAATTCCAAAGTATAAGCAGAGAGACAAACCCCCTTGTAGAAGCAGCTATAATGAGAAAATAATGGTGGACTGTGAAGAAGCTGCTCCTTGTTTGTTTGAGGGTCAAACTAGCCACCACCATTATGTTGACGTAGATAAGTAACGGAAGAGAGGCTTTTCAGGAGCAGTGCCTTCACAAAACTTTTTACAATTCACTGTAAGTCTGACATGAATATCTGCGCAGAAATTCACGGCACACCACCGAGATGTTGTTATAATACAGTCTGGATCAATGTGGTGACTGACAGTCGAGAGTCGAACATCACCATCCCTACAGCCAAGCCACTAGCATGATAGGAGCACGTCGCTGTCAAGAATCATTCTTTTACTTTAGAAACGATCAGAAATAACCATTAACATGAACCAGTCACACTGATACGCAGGTACTAACTTGACTTCCTGTTAAAGTGTGAACAGCATATAACCAGGCCATCAAAGGGTACAGCATCAACATGTGGAGGACTAATGCCAATTTAACCACATCAGGGGTCGATAGAGCACTAAAGTAGATTTATTACATACAGTGAGATCTGATCTGTAAGTGCTATAATGTACGCGAGATAAGGGAGCTAATCAAACAGAGCGAGAGCATCAGTGTGCTTCTATCGTCTGAGGTCTGCCCAGTGTGGCTGTGGCCTGCTGTAATCTCGTAATGGGCTGTACACCAACACAATTGGAGCTACAACCTTTACAGCTATCAGTAGAAACCTGTGTGTATTTATGTTCTTGTCAAATCTGTGTTCACTGTGACTCCATTGTTACTTTCTCATGGGAAAGCATCTGTCAAGACAGCGATGAGAAGAAATCTGTTGATTGCTTTTTTTTTTTTTCCCCCCAACAGTTTAGAGGAGATGAGCGGAGGACAGGAGGGGAGAGAATCCTGATGGGAGTGGAGGGGGAGATAAGCTCTGCAGATTCCTCTTCTCTGGTATTATCCTACATTATCATCCATAGGCTTAGTCCCAGAGAAGTTGCGCTATAGTAAAGCCATACGGTGCACCACTAATGCAGTGTCAGATCTCTTGTGCATATAAAATCAACAATGGGGATTAATACCCTATAGAGCAACATGCATTAAGCTTTGCAGAATAGGAACGAAACCTCACGCTATATAATAATAGACGTTTCTGTGACACCTATCATAAATCATACTTCAATAATGTTAATGGGATGACACAAATGCAGCGATGGGGAGGGGGGGGTGTTTAGCAAAAGACACATTGGAAGAGAAGGTGTAATATTTTTGCAGAGCTAAAAAAATTATTTTCAGTTGGCAAAACAAAGTAATTGGCAACATATTTATTGTTTTTTTTGCTGCTTCCAGCTTCTCAGATGCGAGGATTTGCTGTTATCTTTCTATCACGGTTCTTCCTGGCTCAGAATGGGCCTTTAGGGGATGACAATGTACGACAGTAAGCACAATTGGTCCGTGCACAATAAAGGCAATGAGTTGTGTTATCCTGTTTGACAGAAACCTATGCATTCTTTTGTCATTTCCGAACATTTGATAAACAATAGGGACTATTTTGCCTGAGGAAAGGAAGCCCCAATTACCCAGACTGGTTAAATGTTGTGTTGTTGTCTGTGTTCTCAATTCTTATCACTTTGGCACAGGTGATTTTCTATTGGTGGTGGCTAAAACATCTTTGGGGGGCACCAAAATTCCTGTTTGCAGAAAGAAAGAAAAAACCTGTATATGAAAGTGAAGTAAAATCTATCAGTTTTCTACTTATAAGAATACAGGTGTTTTGAATATATAGCCTTGGCTTAAGGCAAAATGTCAGTTTTTGTTTGTTTTTTTTTGTTTTTTTTATATTGTAATGACTAAAAAATCTAAAGAATCTAAGGAAAACAGATAGCATATTCATCAATAATGGAAATAATCATCAGTTGCAGACCTAAAAAACTCTCCATCTCCACTTTAAAAAGCCTTCCAGGCATTTCCTTGGCAAACAACCTCAAACTACACAATTTGCTGTGAAAAAACAAAGACTGAATATTAACATTTAAGAGGCTTGAAGCACTGCATCCACCCTTTCTGCTTGATAAACAGATTTAACTCTTCATCTGCAGTAACAACTGTCCCACAATTAAAGACTGTCAGTACTAACGCACATATAAAGCAACAACTGCTGACCCTGGACTCTGGATATCTAGTGCATGGGTTTAATGTTAAACTCATAATGTGACTCAGGACCAGTTCTCTGAAACAACCTCGCCCTCCTCCTAGTATGTATGATGGCCGCTAGATTAACTGTCGGGCTGACAAACCATCAGAGCAGATTAAGCGTGGATCAATTAGCTTCTAATAAGCATGGTGAGCTTGGCTGTGCATGAGTGTGTGCACTTAGATGTAAGTGTGTGTGTGTGTGTGTGCACATCTACCCTACTGGAGATCAGCTTGCAGGCTGGAGGAGGAGCTAAACGTTAAACACCCAGGCACACTGATCTACTTTCAATCTGTCCATTTAAGTGTGTGTGTGCGCGCCTGCGAATGTGTGTTTGAGCTGACAGGATCAATCACTTCCACCTCGCTGAGTTGTCCTTGCACTCTCCCTGCCTGTGTGTCACTCTGCAGTACGACTTGCCTAATAGTATCCTCTCGACTTCTGTCCCGAGGCCCTGACTGACCTTGAGTTTATTCTGCTGATATTCACCTGAGTTACTGGGTCAAAGAGCAAACAAAGCACCAACTGCTAAATCCACATTCAGGCCTTTTGAGTTTTCCATCTCATACTGAAAAGCTTTAAGAGTGGCATCTTTTGCCTTTGATCCACTTTGATCCTTTAAAAAAAATGCAATGAGATAATGTGTTCCACTGTGAAAACTGTAGCACACAATCCAAAATACCAATTACTAACTTACTTTCCACAGCTGGGAATATGTATGAGTGTGTGTTATTACAGGTCACGTGGTTCTTCTGTAATGTTCTGCAGCTGTTTAACTGCGGCTGGAAGCTGACTCTGCGATTCTACCATAGTACAAACAGACGCACGCACACACACAAACGGATAGGCACACATGCTATTTCAATGCCTTGCAGAACTTTGGGATAAGAGCTCCTATTTCAGCTCTCCAGGAAAAAAAAAAAAAAAAGTAAAACAGTTTTCTTAAAAAAAGTCACAGAGTCAGCATCCCCAATAAAGTCGAAGCCATCAGAGACCAAGTGCTCTCGTGAGCGAACGCTAAACAGAACGTGTTTGTTTAAGAGGAAAAGTGAGTGAGTGAGTGAGTGAGTGAGTGAGTGAGCGAGCGAGCGAGCGAGCGAGTGAGTGAGTGAGTGAGTGAGCGACACTGTGTGAGAAGAAAGTTTTGAGAAGCTTCAGAGCTCGAGAGCTGAATGCAAATGAACCTGAGCCAAATCACATCAGAAAGAAAAACACTACACAGAAGAATCTCTCTCTATTGTGTGAGACTGTGTGTGTGTAGTGTGTGTGTAGTGTGTGTGTGTGTGTGTGTGTGTGTGATGTCGTGGCACGGTGACGGACACAGTGCACTGAAGGACACTGTGTAGGACCTTGTTTGTATGTGTGTGCGTGTTTGTGCGTTTCTCAGCTGGATGAGTGGATGCATGAAAGCCTTTGAGACAGATATACTGAGCCAATCTAAAGACGGGCTTCAGTGAAAGAGTGAAAGAAAGAAAGAGAGCATTCTTTCACAACAGACTACAGCCCTCCCCTTCCCACCCCTCACTCCCCCCATTCACCCTCCTTCATCACTCCCTCCCCTCCTTTCTCACTCCCTCCTTCCCCCAGTCCAATTCAGCCTCCTTCTTCTTGTTCTTCTCACCCTCGATCCCTCCCTCCCCCCGTCTAGCCAGAATTAACGATTTCACCCTGAATGGAACCCCTATACTCACCCCCGCGCACACACACACACAATAACACACTCAACCCCTGAGGGAGATTTGTGACCTCACCTCCACCAACAACACTAAGTGCTAAATACGCACTGACACAGAAAGCGAGCATACTGTACATGACACATATACATACAGCACATCTAATACACAGAATATGCACAGCAACTGTACGTACCAGTGATGTGCAAACAAACATATGATCATGGTGCAGAATGCTCACTGACATAGAAACAGCCTCATCTGCTAAAATATGTCAGGATGTAATTAGTCTAAAAAGAGGGTCCTTAAAATTCCAGTGGGCACACACACTGACAAACACACACACAAAGGCCCTTAGTTAGATGCTGAATAGCTCGCAGGAAGTGGCTATTTGGCAATTTAGAAGCACCTCCCATGGCTCATCGAGCCTTCTCTCTCTCCTCTCGCCTCCAATCAGTCTCTTTTTATCTTTCTCACTCCTCCTCCTCCTCTCTCCCTGCTTCTCTCTCCAGTTCTCATCTCCCTCCCTTGTTCATGGCCGTGGGTGCCTTCCCACGCTCGGCTCTTGAACTTGCACGCCCTCCCTCCTCTCCCCATACATGTCAGCAGACTACATTGAGGGGCGACTGCAGCGCATGAAATGTGAGATTCTAAACGATGGGTCTCAGCTTTATGTGAGCTACCGAGGCTGCGCTTTCTGCTGCAGAGACCTGGAAGTCACCTTGTTTGAGGATTCTAATGAAATGCAGCAAAACTGGGCCAAAGCCCCCTTTTGAGATAGAGCTGCTCTCGAAAGCAGCGCTGCCGACTCACTCGGTGTTTAATCAAAGAATGACTGCAATTGGTTTTATGCTTTTAACTAATTCTAATGAATCATTTTCTCCTGATTATTTTTTCAATTAATGGATTCATTTTTTAATCCAATAAAATGTCACAAACTTAAAAAAAGAAAAAAAAAAGTCTAATGCATCGCAGAGCTCAAGGTGATGCCCTCAGCTTGCTGTCTTTGTTAGACCATCGTTGTATCCAACCACTCCCTCACAGCCTATCGAGATTACATTTACAATAATATACAAGCAGAAAAATTCTCATTATGAGAAAGTGAAACCAGCAAATGTTTGGCATTATGACACGATAAACGAATTCACCTAATAATAGATTATCAAGAATGTTGGCGATTATTTTCTGTACACTAACTCCTCCACTGGTTCCCACACTTCTGATGGTGTTTGGAGAGCCAAACAATCAGTGCCTACACACTACCCCACATCACAGATTACATATGTGCACAAGCTGCAAGCAGTTTAACCAAAGGCTGAAGCTTCCTTTACAAACTGTTTTGCTATAACAATTCCTAAAGAGACACATAAATAATTTATATGAAATAAATACTATTTGGTGTACAAGGCATCTTCTGTTTTCTCCCTGAGCCACTATTTAGATTCATCACTATTTGGGGCCCTGACCCACGGGTTGGGAACCAGCCTGACAATTTGATTAATCAACTTGTAGTTTCTCCACTTATTATCTGTCCATAACAATCGTGGAGCAGGGATAGGACCATTGTCTTGATCCAAGGGCATTTCTCCCTCTCTCTCTCTCTTTCCCACACATACACAGCATTGATCGATGCAGTGAGGGAACCCACAACTCTGTGGTAGCAGGACAGCCTCAGTCACCACTTGGCCACTCTACTGTGAAATTACAGTGTGGGCAGGTGGCAGGAGGTAGGATGATAAGGTGATGCTGCATGATGAAGGGGATGATGAATTCTGAGTGGGAGGTAATTATTCCCCCGTACTTCTCTTACCTTCTGGTACTCAGAGTCCTCCGGCCTGAAGTCGCTGCTCACCATTTGGAATTCGATGTTGAAATGAGGCAACCGGTGGAGCAGATTCACCCACCAAGGTGGAGAGTAGTTCACTACGGCTGCCATCCTGATGCAGCTGCCTGCCTGCCGGCTGTCACTTCAGTCTCTAACCCGATTCCTCACACGGACACTGTGGAGACATTCACGACCAACTGTCACGGCTTCTTCACGGCAACTTTAAATGTCATTTCACCAAACGTTAAATGAAGATGAAGGTGGTGCATGCACAGTTTTTGCTGCTTAATGCCACCAAAGCCTCAAAACCTGCATCCATCAAACAGAGTAATTACTGATGACTGACATTAGAGGGCTAATGTGATGACTTACTGGTGATCAGTCACTAACTCACATGCAACGTACAGCCTATTAATATGCAAGCAGCCTTAATTTAATAAGTACAAATGCACATGCACAAAGAATCACATTTACCAAGGGTATGCCCAATATTAAAAAAAAACAAAACAATAAATCATTTTTAAATTAATATGCATCAATGAAAAAAGATCTGTAAAACACAGAGGCAACCCTTCACTACAGTCAGGCAGCTCTGGGTTTGGCATGTTTTTAACAGACACACCTGGATAGGTTTCTATGTGTGCAGCTAAAAAACACTGCAATATGACAGTGAAAGCTACTCCTAATGAACTGGATGATTATTTGGCCATTTAAATGTTGTTTTCCTTCGCAGAGCTGCCTTTAAACATGTCGTGCAATGTGTCTGAATCATGATAACAGTGGGCACCATGTTAGTGTCATGCAAGAATTACCCCCAACGATGCGTTAAACGCATTAAAATGAACTATTTGCTCTGAAATACAGCTTCAAAGAGCATATTGTGAGCGGGCATCGAAGCTATGCGGTCATACTGTACATGAATTACTGCATAACAATGGTTGACATGTACCTCGCATCAACCCAATTGACGCCCTTTACCGCTCGGTGAGCTAGCGGTGTTGTGGACGGAGAAATGGCCGTTATTTCAAAGCCACACGTCCTCCTTCTATTGTGCTGAATTTACTGTACCGACACATGTAGGTCAGCTCGGTCGAGGGCAGCCTCACATATTAACGACGTATTTATTCAGGGTCCAAAAAAAAAAAAAAAAATGTTAGCAAAGCGGGATTAGCTAGCGTTATCCTGCTTTGTCCGTTAAAACTACCGCAGTGAGTCGTCAAGGCAACCAGGAGGAGAACAAGGCAGGCAGGGGCTGCGTGTCTGCGGGCATCAAAGCCTCGGTTACTGGGGGGTGAGGGGGGGAGCAGGAACCGTGTTAGCGCCTTACCTGGTGAAGCCCAAGCGGACGCAGACTCTGGTTTAGCGTTGTCTCGGGAGTCCACACCGGCGTATGTTTCACCTATTGTCTTCCCAGATCCGGCGGTGGATTTGAGCACGACAGCCTGCTGCATCAACGCGGCCGTACCGAGCTAGCTGCAACGGCTGCAGTCCCGACCACATTGAAAATAACGGAATCACCGACACCGGTCCGCTTACATCTCACCCAGACGCCTTTCCCCCCCCTTTCTCCGTTTCGGCTACCTTCCCCCCCGATAGCGGCAGGTTAGGGGTTAAACTGTGTGACCCGCAGCCCAGTTATCTGTCTCTTTCTGGACGCTGCTGTCGTCGTCGTCCTCCTCTGAGCCGTGACGCTTCGCGGCTCGTCGGCGCTGTTCCCACGATGACCGTCGGTTCAGTGCGTTTAGCGCTTCAATTGGATGATATTGTTGGAGCGTGAAGCAAACACGGTGTTTAAAAAGCCCCGGAGGACGGGGCTTTGCGGCAGCTCCGTAGATGTGTGTGCGCGCGCGT